GACAAACGTCTAACTTGGAATCCTCATGCCAGACTAAAAAGACGAGAAACTGCTCGATGTTTGCGACTACTTCAGTACTTACTAGACAAATAATCTAAACTTTCAATCAACTACAAAAGACTCATATACATGACTACAATAAGGCCTAATTGGACATATGGAGTTGAGCTTTTGGGCTCCACTAAACCATCAAATTCCTCTCCCATCCAATCAAAAATCCTTCGCTAAATCCTCAATGCTCCTTACTTTGACATAAATAAAATCCTACATTACAATCTTAATGTTCCATATGGTTCTGATTAGGCTTAATCCAGATATCTATCTTTTCACAATAAACTTCAGAACCATCTTAATCCTCTCGTTTCCAACCTTGCTTCCTCTTCGATTCCTGATAACCCACTGAGGGATCTGAAAAGAAGATGGCCTCTAGATCTCCTAATTTAGATACTTTATTTAAGTATCTACCAATGTTGGTATAGTACTAACTACGGGTATATTCTCTACAATTCTTTTCATGCTATTGTATTTCTCTTTACACATTTACTAGATGTATATTTATATTATACAGTTGTGAATTTCATGAATATATATATATATATATATATATATATACACACAGTTATTTCTTCTTTTGTTTTCTTTTTCTTTGTCAAGTTAACAGCTGATAGCTTAGGATTAGTAAAAATGGAGCGTTATACAAATGAGCAACGTGTTTTCATTGTTGAACAATATTTTTAAAATAATGAAAGTCTTGCAGCCACTTGTTTTGCTTCGATATAGACACTTGAATGGCTTGTGTGTAGAAGACTAGTGTGTTTAACATCACCAATTGATCGAGTCTGCCTGAATTTCTGAATCACTCTCTTCACAGTTAATGAAGTTAAAATAATTATTCTGACCATATTTTGTATGAAATTTCAAACTGTGCCTGGAATACTTTCATTATTTTTAAAATAAGTTGTTCGCTCGTATAAAGCTCCATTTTTACTAACCCTAAACTATCAGCTGTTAAATAGATAAAGAAAAAGGAAATAAAAGAAGAAAGAACTGTGTTTTATATTTAATTTAAATCTTGTGTTAATTTTGGGACACCCTTCTAAGGGACCTAATCCTTTAGAGAATGTCTGAAGAACAAGAAAATAAACGACCCTATACATAAAACAACCCAGTGAAAATTCAAGAACTTAATAGCATTATTTGTTACCTCTTCCTGAATACAGCCCTGATCTCGCACCCTCGGATTATCATTTGTTCCGATTAATATTTCATTTTCTTTGGGGTTGATAATACAACATTAAGGAGGATGCCACAGTTGGTCGATGCTCAAGAATTCTTGGCTCCAAACCTGGGAACAGGGAATCCAACAGCTTATCACAAGAGAGTTTACTACCATCAAACGAGATGGGTTATATTTCGAGTATTAGAGATAAGTTTTAATTTCTAATAAAACACTATAAAGTTTCAGTTCAAAACTATTTTTGTTCACTATACTACAGATTTAAAAATCAAATTAAAATAAAACACAAGGAATAATTTTAAAATATAACACAAGGAAAGGACAGGTAAATAAAACACAAGTTGCAAAACTCATTATTAATGACCTTGAATTTAAAAATTTCAGGATCTACAGAAACTGCTTCCAAAGGAAAATGACCTGTTTTGGCATTAGTTTTGAGAAACAACAGATCCAGCACCACATAAAAACTTTTGGAGAGATTGGAGGCCCAGTACAGCCAAGTTAAAAACAGAAAAATGAGAGTATGGGAATGCTTTTGTGGAAACTTGTTGAGCTTCCCACAATCTTTTTAATTATAATATCATTGAATTGAGAATAAAAATTGTAGTACTTACAAGCAATTTAAGCCCAAGATGAGTGTTAGCAGCGATGAAAATGAAATACTCTTGAACAATAGCATACAAGTACTTGTGAGATGGAAATGGAATTTTAACAACCATCTTATTATTATTAGTGGTTAATAGCCAGGTGAGGCAGAAGAGCAGGTAATAAACAAGACAATATCCAAACTTAAAAGTAATTAGGAATCAGGTTATGATGGTTTGCCATTAAAGCAGTCTAAGTTCAGTGATATGGAATTTAAGAAAACTATGCATGGCCTCATCATTCATATAAGGATAGGGGAAGTAATGCCCAGTGATTGGTACAAGATTGTAATCTGTTCTATATACAAAAAAGAAAGACAACTGGAGTCTAGTATTTCTAGTAACTAGAGAGGTATTTCCCTGCTACCCTGTACTAGCCAAATCTTAATAAATATTAACTTTCTGAGACCGCTTTTCTTTGCAGAACAAGAGCTTGGTCCTTATTAATATGGCTTTACAGAATGTTTCACCTCTGATCAAATATTCTCTCTAAGCCAAACTCTTGAGAATATCATGTACTGACTACCAACAATATCTGTTCGTAGATTTTAAAGATACATATATGGTCTTTAAGGTACTGCAAGGAGACCGGGTCTGGAAATTAATGAAAAGAAGACTAACAATAGGAATATAAATATTTAAAAAGGTTGATGAATTTGTCGAACTTAGTTCACAGTTAAACATGAATAAGAGAATATGAGATCAGAGATAAGATGAAAAAATACTAGGGAATAATAGAAGTTTATTCAGGCTGAGAGATCATTTCAGGAGCCATCATCTTACTGAAACTACAAACTTAATCTTATATAAAATCCTGATCTGCCTAGTTTTGGTGTCTAGTGGCTCTAAGACAAAGACAATGTCAACATTTGATGAACAAAGTCTCCTGGTGTTCGAAAAGAAAACTGTGTGGAATCTAAGGTTAGTTAAAAGTAGACCACAGCTGGTGACACGAGTAACCAGAAGCTATACACACTGAATAATAAGTCATCTGCATAGAGAGGCTTAAATGGTATATTGTGGAGAGACAGTACCATGAGAAATGCTAGAAATCTGTTGGATGTGTGGAATCAGATTATAGCTGAGCAGGATGGCGGAAGCTTCTGAAGGAGGCCCAGACTTACTAAGTGGATTGCTACTTCACTGAGAAGTATGAACAGACAACACTTTCATAACTAAAGCTAAAATATTAAAAAAGTTAGCTTTAAAGACCCCCAGATTAACCTTTATGAAAAAATTATTACAAAGCAGGTTAGATATTGGTTTTCTTTAATTTCTTGATACACCTTTGGCTTTTACCTTAAAATATGAACATGACTAATATTGTCAAAAGTTCTAATCATATTGACAAATTTACAGCATCATACTCTTTGTTTTTGCATTGCTTTAGAAGTCCAGAATCACAAACTGTAAAACACAATTTGCCCTGTCTCGATCCGTTGACTTACTATACATTTTATAATAATATATTTTAAGTATAAATTTATATTGATATTATTATTCATAATATTTCGATTTTATTAATATATATATATATATGAAGTGGTAATATTTTTATTGTATCATTTTTGGAGATTTTGTGCATAACTACATGGGCATTTATATTTTTTATTTTTATTTGTTATGTTTAATTAACATTAAAATCTAATGTGCAGTGTGAAGAGTAAAATTTTTAGAGATATTATAGAATAAATAAACCCAAATAAAAACATTGTTTTGAACCGTGAAATGAGCGTTTAAAACAATTGTTTATAATGTAAATAAAGATGAAAAATATGTTTTTATATCTCTTACCATTTAAACAAAACATTTTGTTTTGTTTAAATGGTAAGAGATATAAAGAGGGTTGCTTAATGACTTAGTTGAATGTATTAATAGTTTAGTATTAGTTGTAACCTATGAAACCTAGTCGTAAACTCGTAATGTACATACATGATATTGAAGTGTAGTGTTTTTTTGAAATTTTAGTAAGAAATTATTTTGAATAAAGTTTACCTAAGTTCTCTAGTAAGTGACCACTTAATTAGGATTAATTTTTACTATTATTGACATTCTTGTTCATATAATCATATTACTCTTAAGTGATTAACACTAATAGGACTTTAACAATGAATTTAAATTGCATTATAGTATGGTAAATAAGTGTTAGAAGATGGATGATATAGTCTTTTTTTTATTTATTTAATTTTTAATTCGTTTGAGACCATCATATTTTTGCAACCTGGATGTGCCCGTGTCACTAAAAGGTTGAAAAGCCCTGTCTTAAAGCTCTATATCTATTCAGGATTCAAGAATATTTTCAACAGGTACTTATAAATGTTTGTAATGACTTAACATGCATTATGTTTAACAAAAAGAGAATAAATGAGTATATACCCATCAGCTTTAGTTCCCTTTACTTCACAAAGACTTGACATACATTACGTTTAACAATAAGAGGGCAAATAATGAATATATACCCATCACCTTCGGCTCCCTTTATTTTACTAAGGGTGCTGGAATTTTCATTTTATATGATAAATTTCCAACCCATTATATGACTAACAATTGGCCTACACAAAATGATTCATGAATTTAAATGAAAATCTATAAAAATGAAAAGCTATAATAAAATTAATTCCCACAGAAATGGGTATGTGTTGACAGAAAAATGTGAACAAATTCCATTTAACGATTTCATTGGAATTTCTTTAGAAACTTCTTTTTAAATATAATACATAAAGAATTTTTTAAAACAAAATTGTGTTTATTGTAAAAGTTTAATTTTTATTTATTTAAGTACTCAATAAAAGTTACATTAAATGATAAATAAGTAGTAATTGGTCTTAGATTGCAAATATAATTTATTTTAAATTAATTGCCTGATTAAAAATATACTGGACAATTACTATTTCTTAAATGTAAATTTTGGCCAAATAAATTTCTTAAATATGAGTTTTAGGTAAAAGTTTTAAAAATAAAAGTTCTATTTCTGAAATAACAGAAAATCAATTAAAAATAAAAATTGCAGTCATAATGGAATTGATTGAAAATACAGATTAACTTTTCATTTCAAGCCTTGGTTGTAAATGATCTAACAAGACCATGAAGGAATAATCAAAAGAGAAAATGATACTTACGCACAGGTTGTTGCACGTAAAAGCCTTTTCAAAGTTTCATTGTCATTGGGTTTTTTCGACTGGCTTTGGGAAGAATTTCCTTCTACTGTAACAAAACCACAAAAACTGTACATGTATAACCAAGTAATAGATAAATTAAATTTATTATTAATATGTAAAAACTTCAATTAATTAACTATAATTTACATAAAATTTAGGTTATCAGATAAAGTAAAATGAAAGATTTGTAAGCTGAGTATTACTTATTTTTTGTCTGATTTTTGCAGATATTGCAGGTCTTCATTTTCGGAAAATAAGAACTGTAGAGGATTAAAAAGAAAAAAGAACTTCCCCCGTGGGCACATAAAAACCAACAGTAGATTCAACTACCATTATTAGTTTAAGAACAGCAAACCATTATGTGAAATGGTGTACCTCTCTGGGTAGGAAGCTGTGGTGATCCCATGCCAGTTTGGACAGTCAAATGTGTTTTCTTTCTTTGGAATCTTCACCATCAGTCCACCTTTTCATACAACCAGTACTTTTTCCTCCAGCCATATCTTCTTGAAGAGAGTTTTGATAGTTCAGGCAAATGCTCAAGCATCGTATTTCAAAATGTCAGCAGGTATGTCATCAATTCCAGGGCCTTTCCCATTCTCCATTTCCACAAGGGCCACTATGATTTCATTGAGTCAAGAGCCGGCACACAAAAGCCATTTTTTAAAAAGCCTTCGACTCATTAAAGTAAGACAACATGTGAAGAATCCTTGAAAGGTATGGCATCTTTAAAAAGATAATCAAACCTATTAGGAGCTCATATGATGGATTCAAATTGAGATTGGCATAAAGCAAGGATATGTGTTTTCTCCAATTCTCTTTATCGTCATTCTCGATATCATCATGAGAGCTATTACACTTGGGGTCAAAGAAACAGAATCCAGTGGGGTCTGAGGGAGGGAAGATTGAAGATATCGACTACGCTGATTATCTATGTCAAATGGCACAGCAGTTTACTGAGTAGCAGGACAAGTTAGATGCACTAAGCCAAATGAGTAAGACTGCGGATAAAACAAAGGAAATGTGAGTGAATGAATAATGCCAGAATCCATTTGATCTGAGGGAAAACATTGTAGAGCGGGTGGAATCATTTATGGATTTGGGAGGTGTGATCAGTAATGAAGGAGATGTTAAAGGTCAAATAACAAAAACGTATGGTGTGTTTTTTCAACTGTATCTAAAATGAAAGAACAAAAATTTTCCTAATAAAACCAACGTAAAATCAGTCCTGCTCAACGGCAGTAAAACATGAAAGATGACTAAAATTGTTTCCCGGCCCCTACAGACCTTCATTAATTAAAAATCTTGGGAACTGGTCTCCTGAGAGAATCTCAAACAAAGAGTTATGCAGTAACACTAAGCAGCTACCAATCCACCTTGAAATAAAAAAAAAAAAAAGAAATGGATAGGACACACTTGAAACCAGATGGTGCCATAAAAAAAGAAGCACAGCAATGGAATGCCCAAGGAAGAGATGGGCAAGAAGGAGAGGAAGACCAAGAGAGAAATGGTGTAGATTAGTACAAAATGACCAGAACCAGGCTAGCAAGACTTGACCGGAAGCAAAAATTATAGCAGCAAAAAGAGCGGTATTGATGCTCTATCAATGGAATCAATGGTGATAATAATAACAATAAAACCAAAATTTCTACTAAAAAGAGAGAAAGGGATATAATTAATATCCCCATTAATGGCTTCCCCAACTAATCAAATACATTATTCATTTAGACTTCAGTACATTGTACACTGTAGTATTTTGATTTATACTGTTGTAAATTCTACTAACAAATAATAAATACATTACCTGGTGTATATAGAGCCCGCCTGGCATTATCATGTACCTCTCGACAAGTCAGCCGCAAATCAAAAACGTACTTCTTTCCCAAAGGGGTTGATTCATTGAATATTGAAGCAATTGTACCCTGTTTGTAAATAAAAATTAATTTGTTTAAAACACACATTAATAATTTAAACATATTAATGTTTATTATATTCACTATATTATCAAAAAATATTATGGAGTAGGATCATTATTTTATTAATTAAAAACCATACATACATGCATTCACGTATTCTCTTATCTATGAGAAAATGAAAAGACCACCACCTATATTCTTTTTAGATGCCTAGTAGCCCTGGAGCCAGAACCTAAAAAGGGACCTCATCGCAGGTGAAGGTTAGAATGTTAATTACGAAAGTGTAAGTTATTCTGACTAAAATGAACCTTACCTGACATTCCAGTAGTGTTGTAAAAATGAACCTCAAGCTTCGACTCGAACCCTAAATGCTCGAGTCGTGAAGACTCGGCTCTAGAGCCTTTGGACCTCGAACTTCAAGACTCGAGCTGAAGGCTCATAAGATTCGAGCCTTGATGAATTTATCTTAAAAATAAAACTTAAATTATTGTAGCTTTGTATATATTTGTAAATAATTATACATCTTTTTCTGTTGGTAGTAAAAATGTGAATATTTAAATCATTCGCCATTTTTGGAACCAGTGGCTCTGGAATGACAGACTTTTAATTTATACTCAAACCTTCACCTGCGATGAGGTCCCTTTTTGGACACTAGCTCCAGGAAACTGACCAGAAATAGATTGGAAAACAAGATAATGAACTTGATTCTTTGCATCAATATGACGTTTAAGATAGAGGATATAAAACTATTTTGAGCCAAATCAGCAAAATAAGGGATACTAAAATCTTTATGGATGATTTTGTAAGTAACATAATTAAGCTTAACTTTACAGAAATTGTTGGTGGTATGAACATAAAACTTTTTGGTTAACTAAGTATATCACTGTTTAAAATAAATAGGGAACATTAAGAAGTCTATGAAATGAAAAGGAGAAATTTAATAGCTGTACTCGGCAATAAACCTCTTGACAATGTGGAATGAGCCAGCGCATATTCTTGGCGAAGAACTCATGACTTGTCCTTCCACAATTTGTACAAAATTTGCCACATGCATTCTCTGTCAATTTCTTTAGTTTCAGCAATCACACGAATACTTAACTCATAGTAAGATTGAACCAAATTACTGATTTCATCAATATTATCATCAGTTTCGGCAAGGAAAGGAGACCCCGGCATGAGTCAATTTCTACGTCTTGTTAGCCATCTTTACAACACTTCGTAACAGCTTTAAAACGGCCATTTTAAAAAGATGTGCACATAATAAACATTCATTGCAATACATTTCTTTCAATAAATTATAAGTTTCATCAGTGGTTTTTCCAATTTTGAAATAATTTCACAACGATACGTTGCTCAATAGCTGCATTTAACATTTTATTGACAAAACAAAAACACAACTCTAATGCGAATGAATGCTAAAGCTACATGGATTCTTTACAGAAGCAAAAGGTACTGCATTTGAAAGAGAAGGGTTCACAATAAAAGCTGTAGATAGTTGACGTTTGGTGCATATACACTTTTTCTGTTACATCGTTAGTATTGTTATTTTATAGCCACACCTCATATGCAGGATGGTGTCTTAAGAGTTTTTAAAGTCATCTTGGTTGCTAAAAATGGGGCATATAGATCATAATAAAAAAATAAGATATAGCAGAATTTGAGGGAGCAATTTTCCATAATCATAATCAGGAAAGGAGTCAATGTAGTGATGGGATAATAGTTCAGGCTTGAAATGAAATTTCAACTATTATTTTTAATGATGAAACAAAATTTACAGGAATTTCAGTCAAGATATTTTTATTGGGTTAGCAAATATTTCGATCCAAACATGGGGGTCATCCTCAGGGCTAATGTTTAGAAGTTGAGACAAGAACTCGATAATATAGCATTTCCAATAAAATTCAACGTTTTCCAAGTCAAATTCAACCTTTTCCAAATCAAATTAAACTTTTTCCAAGCCAAATTCAACCTTTTCCATTTCAAATTCAACTTTTTTTTATTTATTTAATTATTTTTTATTTTTCGATGTAAGAGTCATGTATGGGTCAATTATTGTATGTTTAGTTTTTGAAAATGAACTCCATTTTAAGTTTATGCCGCTGCGTTTCAACTTATTTAAGTTTTTCGGATGTATTCCATATAGAGGTGTGTTCTTAAATTCCGGAGCCATAGATTTTGAAAATGACCTCCATTTTACGATTAAGTCGCTGCGTTTCAACTTATTTACATTTTTCAGATTTATTAGATATAAGGCAATATTCTTATGTTTCCGAAGCCGTAGATATTGAAAATGACCTCCATTTTAAAATTATGCCACCACGTTGAGACATATTTACGTTTTCGGATTTGTTAGATATAAGGGTGTATTCGTGTATTCTTATGTTTCCAGAGCCGTAGATTTTGAAAATTACCTCCAGTTTAAAATTACGCCACCGCGTTTCGAATTATTTAAATTTTCCAAATTTTTTTTATATAAAGGTTTACTTTTACGTTTCCGGAGCCGTAGATTTTGAAAATTACCTATATTTTAAGATAACGCCATCGCGTTTTGACTTATTTAAGTTTTTCAAATTTATTTGATACTAGTGTGAAAAATTCGCACAGCATATTGTTATCAAATGCCAAATTAATAAGAAAAGAAAATAATGCAATGTATCAAAAGATAAATGAATCAATTGTTACTTTATCGAGAAATATCGATAAATCGACAAAGGAAACAAAATTAATTTAAATCTTCATTTTTGTTTGGAACATATTTACAAATATCAATAAGTTGTATCTTTGCGAAAAGTTGACCAATTTCAGTGATTTTTTTTTCCCTTTTGAAGACAATTTATTAATGTTTTATATAATCATGGGAATAACCAAGGGAAAAGTGTGTATATCGAATAAATCCAAAAAACATAAATAAGTCTAAACGTGGTAGCGTTATCTTAAAATGGAGGCCATTTTAAAAATCTGCGGCTCTGGAAATGTAAAAGTAGACCCTTATATCAGATAAATTTGAAAAACTTAAATAAGTCGAAACGCGTTGGGGTAATTTTAAAATGGAGATCATTTTCAAAATCTACGGCTCCGTAAACATAGGAATAGATAGATAAATAGAAAAAAAAACTTTATTCTGGGACTAAGTCCCTTCAGAATAACAATAATGGACAAAATAATAGGATATTACTGGCCTATACGTTTGAAACAATAAATAAAATTGATAAAATAAAATAAAAAGTAAAGAAAACCTTAGGTGCACAAGCTATATACAATACAGATAAAACTATGTACAGAGCATTTAAAATTATGAACAAAACAATTAAAACTATGAACGAATCACTTGAACTAAATCACTTGAACTATGAACAAAATTATATATAAGGGTTGAACAGCATAAACATACACTTTGAGAAATGAAGAACGAAAAAGAGATATAGTGAGTTCATTTCATAAAAGAAAATTTAAAAAAACTTTACTTGAATACATATATAAAAATAAACAGTTAATTATAATGGAATAAAAAAAAAAATAAAGAAATGTATGTATTGAAATTCCTACGTCGATAGTAGGAAATGCATGTACTATCTCTAGTATCAAGTATTATGATAATATGATTGCTACACAATACATATATAATATTAATAGTTAGCTGGTATCTGACTGTTTTTGGAACGGGAATTGGAATAGGAGGTTTTTGAATGTGTGTAGGGAAGGGGCATGTCGAATTTTGATCGGGAGGGAATTGCAAAAGTTGACAGAGCGGGCTATAAATGAATTTTGGAATGAGGCAGATCTATGAGAAGGGATGTATAGGTCAGAGGGTCGGGATCTTGTAGTGAGGGAATGGATTGAGGACTTAAATTGGAGAAGGTTGTAGGCATAAGAAGGACGATGATCGGTAACGATGAATACATCCTTATTTGGAAAAAAGTCAAAACACAGAGGCGTAATCTTAAAATGGAGGTCATTTTCAAAATCTACAGCTCCGGAAACATAAAAATACACCCTTATAACGAATAAACTGAAAAACTTAAATAAGTAGAAACACAGTGGCATAATTTTAAAATGGAGGTAATTTCGAAAAACTAGGCACACAACAACATAATACTAGACCCTAATAAATCCGAATAGGTACAATAAATCGAAATCCGTAAGTGTAACATAAAATCGATAGTATTTTGAAAAACTCTACTTAAGGGAGCATAATAATATACCTTCATATGAGGAAGGGGGAACGGCCCTTGTTTAAAAAAAATCAAAAATTTGGAACATTAATTTGAAACGGAAATGGTTGAATTTGAATTGGAAACGGGTGAATTTGAATTGGAAAAGGTTTAATTTGAAATGGAAATGGTTGAATTTGACTTGGAAAAAGTTTAATTTGATTTGGAAAAGGTTGAATTTGACTAAAAAAGGTTGAATTTGACTTGGAAAAAAATGAAAATGACATTGAAATATTATACTGAAAACATTTAAAAAGTTAAAATAAATGGATATGCAACCGCGTTATCAAATTTTTTTTTTGTATTTTTTCAAAATCTATGTCTTTGATAATATAGTAAGTAGCCTTCTTTTCGAAAATTGACAAAAATTCGAAAGTTGAATTTGAAATGGAAAAGGTTGAATTTGACTTGGAAAAGGTTGAATTTGAAATGGAAAAGGTTTAATTTAACTTGAAAAAGGTTGAATTTGATTTGGAAAAGGTTAAAATTGACTTGGAAATTGCTATATATATATATTATTTTTAATAATTTTCGGTATAACTGGAATCTTTAGTTTAATTTTATTTCTGTTATTTGAAAACTATAACTTTTTCCCATAGCATCTTTTCAAATAAAGATTTTACAAAACTTTTTTTCCGAAAAAGTTTCAACCCCTCATTTAAAAGAAGAAATATCCTTGAAGTAGGCCCCATTCCACAAGAAAGATTTCATGACAGCCAGGGTCCAAAAATGGACATCATCCCTTGAATGTAAATTAAAAAAGTATATGTTATTTTAAGTAAAATTAACCTTGCCTGCCATTCCAGAGCTGTTGCTTTCAAAAATAGTGGCTGATCTAAAGAATATTAGGATAGTAACTTGAAAATCAAAACGGGAAATATATTGTGATACATGTAAAATGAAAATTTTATTGAAAAATTTTTATTTTTTAACTTGTATCTGGGTTTGAAGATGTAAAAAACAAAATTGCTAATGCAAGGAACCAAGGGAAAACGTTTTACAGCTAAAAAGGCCTGATTTTAAGCTATAACTCCTAAACGGTGCATCAAAGCGAAAAATGTACTTGTTAAGAAATTAAAGAACAATAAATTGTGTGTCGAACAAGAAAATAAATGAGTTAATTTAGATGATCTAAATTATTTATAATTTAGAAATTTGATGCTTCACAACTTTTATTCTATGAGTTTTTTCTCTTAGGGAACTCATGTCTGAGCTGCAGGGCCATTTAAGAGAGGTGCAATAGAAACACAAAATAATGATGTAACTTCTTAAAATACATTTAAAATGTTACTCTACTTACTGATGTCAATAAAGTTTTCTCTTTTTATTTATTATTTTAAATTTCACTTTCAAAGTTATTAGATATCATTCTGTCTCATTACCAATAATAAAATTTATCGATACGTTCACAATATAAACATGAAGTAAAATAGGAGTATATGATTGTTACCTTCAAATCCCTAATATATTGAGAAGTTACAGCACCACGAACTGTGTCACAAGAATAGAAGTCATGTCTCTCTGTCACGGCTCTAATAACAAACAATACCAATAACAGTATTAGTACTTAATTTATTATTATTATTATTAATGGCACTGAATTATCAATTGGGTATAAATATTATATTGCTGACCTGTATAGGCTGGATGCAGAAGAGTTAGAATCACACTTTATCTCCAAGGTCTTATCATTATGATCTTCATCGAGGTAAACTAATTGGAATAATCTCCGTTGATTAGAGGCACTTCTGATGGCACTGTATGGAATCCTACAAAGGTTAAATGAAACTCTTTTATAACTCTAATATTTCCTTTAAAATTATTAATAAATCATGTCTCTCTGTCACTGCTCTAATAACAAACAATATCAATTACAATATTAGTATTTAATTTATTATTATTATTATTAATGACAGTGAATTACCAATTGGGCAGTTGTTAAAGTAAATAACACATAAGAAAGTAAATTGTATTTTTGAATAACTATAATTATTAAACTGTTTTTATGCTGTTATATTACTTGTGAGTATTATACTCGTGAGAAGTGAAGAAATAAAATTTCATATGTAACAATATTTTCTTTTCTTAATAACAATGAAAATAAAAAAAAGTTTCTACACTAAATTGTTAAATTTTATAATTAGATTTTTGATTGAGCATTCCCATTTCAAATTAACATTACAAATGAATTTTTTTTCTCAGAATAGGTATCATATTTATAATGTTTCTAGGATCTATATTACTGAAGTTACTGACAAATTTTAAATTTCATAAGGTAGGCTATTGAATAAAAGCCTAGAAATTAGAAATAGATTTTTTTTAAATAGTTAAATAGTTTTATAGTTTTAAATAGTTTTTTTCCTAAGTAGTTCCTCAACTCCAGAGAACAATAAGTGAAACAATGATGTTGAAGAATCTAGAGTTTTACGCCTTTAAATCCAAACAAACAATGTCATAACATGAGCATTTCAATTTATCGATACTGTAGAAGTTTCTTTTACTAATATATTTTTAATTGAACATGTATATTTGAATTTATGGAGTGAAAATTTTATCCTAAATGTTTGAATACCACACTTGAATTACTAATAAGTGAACCCTATACTGGTAAACCCTCCAAAAATAGGAAACATATTTTTATAACAAAGAAATCTCGAACAGTAGCACTAATTCTACTAGCACAAGGGCAATTGATAATCTGATAGTGAAATCAGAATTTGATCCCTCAGGTATATATAGCACAATGAACCATTGGATTTTCTTTTTTTGCCCTATTTCACTCTGGTAAAATTTATAGTTCGATATTTTCCAAAATATAAATAAAAATAAGGATGAATTAGAACAAAGTTTTGGGTAGTTAGAAGTTTATTGAAATAATCTCTTAAAAAATGTTAAAATACGGTTAGCAATTTTGGTGATCAAAAATAACATAAAAAAATGAAAAAATGTATACACAAGTAAATATTTAATTTTATTAAGTATAAATTTATAATTATAGGTATTTTAAAATCTTTTGACTCAAAATATTCTCATTCACTTCAGTAACTTTAAGCGTATTCATTTTAATATTAATTTACTTTTACAGGTGTAATTACAGCCGTATTAACTTTTACAGGTGTGAATACCACTATTATATTTATTTATATTTATATTTATATGAATTATCTGTATTCATATTTCGTTTTTTGAACATAAATATATTCATAGGATACCAAAATATAAATACCATTCATATTTATATATTTTTTTTTTTTTTATATTTGTTTATTTAGAAATATCACATTCTGTCACATCAAGGACATTTGTAATAGTGTTCAGAGAACACACTCACACTCTATTTACAATAAATAAAAAAAAATAAATAAAAAAAAATAATAATTTATATTTTTAAATATACACAATCCTCCCATCTTCTTCTCAGTTAATAGTGTTATAAAAACAAAAAGTATATAGTTAATTAGATGTGCAAAAGAAAAACACATTACCCTTTCCTTTCAGGTTGGTATATGTTAACACCATTAGGGCCTATTCCCACCTTGAAGTTTTTAAAACAATAAGTCTCTTCCCCAAAACCTTCCAACATTGAGGCTTCCTTTAAAGCCCAATATTCAGCCTTTTCTTTTTCTATCTGCAAACAACAAAGGTGATAAAAAAATAAATAGAGCATGGTTTAAAAATATTATTGCTAAAGTATTGTGATTAATAAGAATAATGAAAAATATAGAAATCATATTTCATATCATATTTTCTACAGATAGATTGATATAGCCATATCACTTCAAGAATAATATTAGATTTCGTATAAAGCCTTGTCATAAAACAAACTTGTCACTATCTACAGAGTAACAATGAATCTTATGTGTGGTGATATAAATGAAAAAAAAAGGATGTGTTTTATGCAGATACAGAAATGATGCATTACTTACTGGCTGACAAATTTTGGTGAGGCAAAATCACGAAAAGATTTGGAAATAAGGGCAGCGGAAGTCACTGATATAGTCTTGCAATGGTGCCGAGAAAATAAACTCTCTTTAAATTTTCAGAAGACTCGACTCCTGTTTTTGAAGGGAAAAATGGTAGGGTTTCTCCCCAGAGTAAAGTTAGGAGATGTCCTAATAAAACCATCTCAGGAAGTGAAGTTCTTAGGAGTCCTATTGGGCGAGAGGTGTAATTTCACTAACCACCTAAAAGAAATTAAGAACAAAACTATTGTCCGTTACAGTTGCCTTAAAACGATGGCAGGGACCACCTGGGGTCTCAAATATAGTTACCGGGAAACGCTATATAAGGCTTCTTTCTTGCCTATTGCATTATATGCGGCGCCGGTCTGGGGCCAGAAACTGAGAGCAAAAGCCAGACGTGTTACTTTGTGGGTTCTGGTCAACTCTGGTCCTCTTACTGGACGAAAAGCCATTAATCCATACTCATTTAATCTTCTCCAAGCGGTACGTTTAGAAATTTGCACACCTCGAACTTCTTCAAGCTGATGAATCGCTTGAACAACGGTAAGGTGCCGGTTTCGTAAAATTCTCAAAGTAAAAAACCGGTCATCCCGTGGTTCTTTTACACTAGGCCGTCCAGAACCGGGTCTTCTATTGTAAGAACCAGTTTTCCGAAAACGCCTGACGGCATCGCGTAAAGTTTCATATGGAACTCCGATGGCATTAGCTGCATATCTAATGGAACGTCCATCATCAATAAGTGCCACACCACGCGCAACATCCTCAGCACTAAGAGGCATTTTTAAACTTAATATTGAAAAAATTAAAAGCTGGAGACTAAGAAATGTGCTGCAAGAAATGGTGCTGAACTAATGATACTGAATAAACATTTTGATTCCATAGAAAGTAAACATTGGAATCTAGAATAATTTCATTGAATTAAGGATTAAGGGTTATTGTCCTCTATATTAACATTCCTAATTGAAAACAAACAAAAAGATTACCTATTTATTCATTAAAAACAATAGACCAATCCAAAGCAGAAATATTTTTAGATGAAAACATGAAAAAATCAAGTGGGTGGAATTTTTTGCTTGTCAGTGTATAACTTGGCAGCATTCTTTTATAAAAATAAAATGTTTCTCTCTTGGACCACCATGAATAAAATTAATGATAAATGAAAAGAAGGAAGAAAAATAAAGATAACTGGAAAATGAATCAACAGGCTTGAAACATGGTTAATTTTATAAAAATAAATAGATGAAGATCAATAAGCGTTTTTATTTCCTTTTTTTTTTACAATTGGGATATCTGTGAATTTTGGTCTTCTATGGTAATCATGCAGTTCAATCCAACAATAAAGAACTTAAGTGGCCATTTCTTAAAGATAAATAATTTGAGAAAAATATTGGGTCGTCTGAAAAATAATGCAGGATTTTGAGAGTTTTCTTTAAAATATCCCTCTATAACAAATCCATGCTGCTCGAGACTTCCCCTCCCCTGGCATACGAGGCCAATCAGCCTACTGGAGGCAATTCACAATGGCCGGTGGTAGGATTGATGACCCTAACCCGTGTACTTAAAGGATACTGTCAGATTGGCTATAGAGCTATGGGTGGCCTGCCACTGCACCATGGAGAACAGGATTCATGTTCTTTAGTCCCGCAACCAATATAAGTCTGTAAATAGACTACATCTTGGGGCCAAAGATCTTCATGGTCTCTAGCACCAACCGAAAAACAAACAGATTTGTGTTTTTTACTTTCATTTACCTCTAAGTATATACATATATAGTTCATATTTATATATATATAGATATAGGAAGAGAAAGTATTGCAATCATGAACATTTTTTTTTATCAAGTTAATCTAATCAATATGTTTTTATGAATAATCAAGCATTTAAAAATTGGACTGCGACAAGCAAAGATTCACCCTTAGAACCTAATAACTGAGTAGGTAAATTTTCCTACTCACTGGATGAATCATTCTTCTGATTCATTGAAGTCTCTCTCAGAGAAAAACTTACATTTAGAGCAGAATCAGCTTCATTTATGAATGGTGATAAACATTCCCTATCTTCTTCAGATGTTTCCAATTTACCATCAAGCAGCTCTTGCCTCATCTGGGTGTACATTATGTGCCTGCAATATAAAGAAATAAATTATTGTAACATTAAGTTGCTTACTGTTTGAAGTAGTTTCATCCAGGTCAGTAAAAAAAGATAGAGAAAATTAGGAAGGTTTTAGTTTGCTGTAAAAGAACACTTAAAGCATTAATAGCAATGTGAGCAACTCCAAAGCAACCATAATAATTTATATTTTTATTGGCAAGCACTAGTACAGGAAAACAACAAGTACATTATTAGATGTTTGAGTGTGTTGATGAAGAGAAATTCACCAGACAGAAAAGACAGATAAAAACAGAAATTTTTATTATTGGTATGGATTGTTTGATCTATATCATCAAATGGAAAACTACATGTAATGATGTCCAATATATATATATAATGATGTCAGTCAAATGTACAATTGCAAAACAAATAATTCAACTGTAGTTGTTTTTGATGACATGATTTTGGGTGACACAAACAATACCAAAACAAGAGAAAATCTCTGCAGGTACAACACAGCTTGAACCTCTATTCATTTTCAGTGAAACCATGGCACTGTATGGCAAATAATGCACTAAAGAAGTTGGTGATGCAGATGTTCTAATTTGGCCCAGGAATTCCAATTAGGTACACAAGAATCCATAAGCATCAGCACTTAAGAAGTATTTGAGAGGGCAAGGTTAGCAAACCGGTCTTAAACATTTGGCGCCCCCGGGCAATGACGTCATCTAAAAAAAATTCAATTTATTTCTTTATAAGCTAAAATCAATTATTCTCATTGGCTTTGTAAATTTTTTTAGCTCCAAGAAGTGGTGGGGCATTCCCAGGAGTATGCCCAAGTTGCTCTGGCCTAAGACTGGCACTGAATTGTAACGGGATAACAGTGTTCAATGCATGGGAGGTGTGATAGGATATGTAACGCATTACATAAAGGAGTAGCTCAGTAATCAGTTTATTACCGGTAATATTTGTAATATAATAATTACCCAAATGGTTTATTAAACGTTTTGCGAGTTATAAGTGCCTTGATCCCTCCTTGCTCCTCCCAGTGCCCATGCTTATGTAGGCATCGATGACCAAACTGTATAAAACAAGATAATAAAAGACAACAGCGGATCCAGGGGGGGGGGGTCCCCACTGAAAGGTGAGCACAAATTTTATCTTGAAAAAGTAACTATACATCCTCTGCTTTTATAATTAGTAATTTAGCTGAAAAATGAATTGTATTAAACAATTAATTTTGTATAGGAGTCGGTTGTGGTGTGCAGTCACAAGTAAAACAGTAAAAAGTCAATAAATTACAATTTATTTATGTTTTATGTTTTATGACAGTCAACTATTAATCAAATATTATAATTAATTTTGATTTGTACTTTTTACTCATATTATAAAAGAGCAGCCTAAGGCACTTGCAACAAATAATAAAAGCTGACAAACATCAATCACAGTAGGCACTTGGATGGGAGGCCACCCCAATAATAACTATATTGTCCGCCACCATGCTTTCTATAAAGATCTTTGATCAGTAAAATTAAATGTCCTAAAACCTTCTACAAAATAAATACAACCATCAATAATCATTCAATATCAAAGGACGCTTTTGGACAATAGCCTTAGCTTAACGTTGACTAAGCATTTGATGTTTTAAATTTTTAAGGGGAAGAGGATTGATGATCCCTTATATACAATAACTATGTACTTAAGATTTCCATACACTAAATTTACATATATATATATATATATATATATATATATAGTATTTACATTTATGGAAAAAAACTCCAGTAAATAATTCATGATTTAATGAAAAATACAACTTAACGTAGTTTAGATGCTCAAAAGTCTCCTTTAAATGGTTTTGACAAACTCTGCTCGTATTTGAAGGAAATTTTGTTTAGTTTACTATAAAGAAATTTTTAATTACCTGAGTTAAATAATTTTTGTGTTATTGCTTGCTATGAAAGATAAAACGTAACCAACTTAAGAAGAGACTAAATTGGACTTGACTCTTTTTCCATTTGAAATCGGTCCAAACATTAAATAAAATGTTTTGTTACAAATTTTGTCTAAAATCATCTGAACCAGATATGGACAGACGAGGAGACAACATGGCCAGTAATCGAGGAGAGGCTGAATAAGGCTTTTGGGGGAGGCAGATGAACCCCAGAAGAAGATATTTTTCAGAAATTCAGAGAACGTCAGTCCCCGCGACACACGAGCCGGAGTACTATTGGAAATGTACAACCGCATCATCAAGAAGATGCGTGAAATGGACACCATGAGTGCTAGTGAGGTAGAAGCCAGGATGGCAATTCTGTCACCATTCTTAAGGTCCAGTTAGCAAAGAAAACTGGAAAGAGGGATGGGCTACCAAGAGAGTGGCCATTCTTGGAATGTGCCCAGGAAATGCTCGACCTCAGCACGAGAAAAGAAGAAAATATGATGGAGGTGGAGGAATCTAGATGGAGCCGAGTGAACAATTCAGGAACACTTCACAAAAATAAAGTGGTTTTCACTATAAGAAACCTCGTTTAGTTCATCCAAACCTGCTGACTTGCCAATTGCTTCGAACAAATTTTTCTTGCTGATAAAATGGTCTTCACCATAATAACCCTGCATCGTCCCCTTAATATCATCCAATCTGCTCCAACATATGATCCCCTTTTAGCAGTATCTTGAAATATTCTGTTTATCTGTCTACTGTATATTTGTTTAGCCATATAATGGATACTGACCCTTGTTTTATTTTCCGAGATTTTGGCACTTCCTTTCTCAGACGCTTAATGTATTTTTTGTGTTCAATTTGGCGTTTTCCCTCATTTTGAGAACAAATACTAACAATCAGTTCCAGTTATCTAGAAGAATTTATAGCTTCTCCCTTTCTATTTTTCTTTGTGCAGAGAGAATAATGCATTCAATATAAAAATTTCCTATTTTTTTATATGGTCCAACTTCTGAACAAAATCAAGGAAATAAAAATTAATTTTTTATTAGTGATACATGAGTTTTACTAAACAACCTCTCAACTATTCATTATATGTAGTTCAGATTAGGTATATATTATTTTAGTTTATAAAACCGGTATTAATATGACTCATTTCCGGAAAAAGTACATAATATTTAAATTACCTCTAAGAATCAGTAAATATACAAATCAAAGTGTTAAATTGCAAACATTAAATAAAAAAATAAAGATATTCAGCACGGCAGGGGGTTTGGCCCACAGACTAATTATAGTAAATATGGTAGAAGCAAAGTTCACACTATCTGGTTGCAACCAGGGTTGAGTATAGATTAGATTTGCAGGTCACTTAAGGACGCATCAGAACCAGGAAAACATATCATTTATACGCGGGGAATGCTACAAGATGAGAAAAAATTAAAAGAGATTTGGAGGTTAGAGAAAATCGGAATAGACAGAATGTTTGTCCGATATAGGTCCATGGAAATGTTAATGGACGAAAAGCAACAAAAAGAAGTGACACCGGCGTACCATCAGGGGAAAACAAACCACCGCGGAGTGAACGAGACCTTTTAGGCATTACGCAGGAAGTACTTCTGGTGGGGCATGAAAAAGACCATCCAGGAAATTATAGGGACATTTGTGGTGCGTATGCGCACGAAATAGGACAGACAGCCCCCTCAGGGAAGACAATTGGAGACACCTACCAGAGATGCACCATTACAAGATCTTCAGATCGACACATTCATGTGGAGAAATTTTAAATGTTGCACCATAAGTGACCTCTTCGATAAACTCGCTATGGCGTATCAAATACGGGATAAATCGTCAGATGCAGTCTTAGAGGATTTACGAACGGTGCAAATGGGTGCAGTTTTACAGGATCTCTTGGGTACCTTGTAAAATCTCGTCCGATGAGGGAAGGAAGTATGACAATTCCGCAATTAGAAAGAGGGGAAGCGATTGGGGATAGCTCGGCACTTCATTACACCAGGATACCTCAAAAGCAGAGGTGGCATCGAACGAACCCTGCGTGACCATACACGTGTGTATCAAGGAGAGAAATGATTGTAGAGGCCGATATTGCAATGAAGAAAGCCATAACAGTTTATAACCATTCAATACATTCTGTCACTGGGTTCTCACGCTTCAAAATATTATTCGGGATGCGCTGGCGGAGACGAGATTGCGGCGAAACGACGATCAACGACCAAGTGGCGGAACAAATAATTAGTAATAGGGTAGAAGTAGGAAAATCGTGGGAAAAAGTACGAGAGAAAGGAGGATAAGGGTAGGTAGAGAGAATTTAAGAATAAGAGATCTAAATATCGGAACAACCGTAAACCGGAGAATGGGAACGAATCGAGGGAAAGAATTGATATGATACGAGGGCCCATTCAGAGTGGTTGCTATTAGGGAGCATAATTTAGTAACTACAGAAAACATTAAAGAGCCCAAAAAGAAACGAACAGTTCATATTGAAAAGTTGAAACACAGGAAATCATTATTTGTGTTGTTTGTAAATAAAATCTTATATCACTGTGGGCAAAGCCCAAAAAGTGAAAGCGAAGTGTACAGAGCGAAAAGCAAAACACATAAAATTTCTTTTGTCGTTAATGCAAGATGTAAAACCAGTATGTACCTAGGAAGAGATCCCATTTCTGTTCTATTGAATTTTTCATTATTTCCTGTTTTTCTTATTGGAGTATGTTTTGTTGTGTAGCAATAAAGAAGGTGGAAAGAGTTATTTTTTTTTAGTTCATAGAGAATTTTTTTTTATAAGCATACTGCAAGTGGAATTCTGAGATTTTTTTTTATTGTGTTAAGTGCAAAGTAGCAAGGCTAATAGACAGTCCGCTCCGCTACAGGATTACTTAGAATTTTCCAAAACGTTATTCGTAAACTGGTGGGGGAAGAGATAAAGACCGGAGTCGAGCAGTATCAGCCTTAATACCATCCTACAATGTAAATAAATTCTTAAATGTATAAAAGGAGGATTACTTTACGAATAAAGCAGTAATGTTTCTGAAACCGTGTGTGTTGTATCTCAACCCCTTACCTTTTTTATA